TGAGACAGGAATCCACCGAAGTACTACAGGAGAAAACAAGCAACAACCTCTCTGACCTTGGCTGCAGCAACTTCTTACTAGACATGTCTCAGAAGGCAAGGAAAATAAAAGCAAAAATGAACTATTGGGACATCATTAAGGTAAAAATATTCTGCAAAGCAAAGGAAACAATCAACAAAACTAAAAGGCGACTGGTGGAATGGGAGAAAATATTTTTAAATGACATATGAGATAAAGGGTTAGTATCAAACATCTATAAAGAATTTACCAAACTCAACACCCCAAAAAACAGATAATCCAGTGAAGAAATGGGCAAAAACAATGAATGAACACTTTTCCAAAGAAGACATTTAGATGGCAAACAGACACATGAAAAGATGCTCAACATCACTCATCATCAAGGAAATAGAGATCAAAACCACAGTGAGATACCACCTCACACCTGTCAAAATGGCTAAAATTAACAGCTCAGGCAACAACAGATGTTGGTGAGGATGTGGAGAAAGGGGAATACTCTTGCACTGTTGGTGGGAATGCAAACTGGTGTAGCCACTCCAGAAAACAGTATGGAGTATCAAAACATTAAAAATAGAATTACCCCGTGACCCATCAATTTCACTATTAGGATTTGCACTACTAGGAATTGTACTACTAGGAATTTATCCAAAGGATACAGGAGTGCTGATTCAAAGGGGTACATTTACCCCAGTGTTTATAGCAGCACTATCAACAATAGCCAAAGCATGAAAAGAACCCAAATACCCATCCACTGATGAATGGATTAAGAATTGGCATACATATTCAATGGAATACTACTCATCTTGAAAAAGAATGACATCTTGCCATTTGCACCAATGTGGATGAACTGGAGGGTATTGTGCTAAGCCAAATAAGTCAGTCAGAGAAAGACATATATCATATGATTGTACTCATATGTGGAATTTGAGAAAGTTAACAGATGATCATAGGGGAAGGGTAGGAAAAATAAGATAAAAACAGAGAGGGAGGCAAACTATAAAAGACTCTTAAATACAGAGAACAAACTTAGGGTTGATAGGGGTCCAAGGTGGGGAAAATGGGTTATGGGCATTAAGGAGGACACTTGTTCAGATGAGCACTGGGTGTTATATGTAAGTGATGAATCACTGGAAACTACACCTGAAGCCAAGACTACACTGTATGTTAGCTAACTTGAGAACAGAAAGACAAACAAACAAAAAAGCAAAAAACAAACAACAAAAAACAAAACAGTATGCAAGGGTTCCCTTTTCTCCACATCCTTACCAACACTTATTTCATATCTTTTTTATAATAGCCATTCTAAAACATGTGAAGTGATATCTCTTTGTAGTTTTGATTTGCATTCACCTGATGATTACCTTTTTATGTACCTGTTGGCCATCTGTATTACTTCTATTGGAAAAAAAATATCTATTCAGATCTTCTGCCCATTTCTTAATTGGGTTGTTTGTTTGCTATTAAGTTGTATGAGTTCTTTGTATTTTTGAAATTAACCCTTCATATGATATATAACTTACAAATATTTTTCCCCATTCTATACATTGCCTTTTCATTTTGTTGATGGTTTCCTTTGTTAAGCAGAAGTTTTTGAGCTTGATTTAGTCCCACTTGTTTATTTTTCCTTTGGTTACCTTTACTTTTTGTGTCAAATTCAAAAATCATCACCAAGAATTGTGTCAAGGAGCTTTCCACCTATGGTTACTTCTAGTAGTTTTATGGTTTCAGGTCTTACACTCAAGTCTTTAACACACTTTGACTTTATTTTTGTGTATGGTGAAAGACAGTGGCACAGTTTCATTCTTTTGCATATGACTGTCCAGTTTTCCCAGCACCATTTTTTTTTCAACGTTTATTTATTTTTGGTACAGAGACAGACAGAGCATGAACGGGGGAGGGGCAGAGAGAGAGGGAGACACAGAATAGGAAACAGGCTCCAGGCTCTGAGCCATCAGCCCAGAGCCTGACGCGGGGCTCGAACTCACGGACCACGAGATCGTGACCTGGCTGAAGTCGGACGCTTAACCGACTGTGCCACCCAGGCGCCCCAGCACCATTTTTTGAATAGACTACATCGAATATTTTTGGTTCCTTCATCATACATTAATTTACCATGTTTGCATGGGTTTATTTCTGGGAACTCTATTCTGATCCATTGATTTATGTGTCTGTCCTTATAGCAATAGTGTTTTGATTACTATAACTTTGTATATAGTTTGAATCAGGAAGTGTGGTGCTTCTACCTTTGTTCTTTCTCAAGATTGCTTTGGATATTTGAGGTTTTGTGCTTCCATATAAATCTTAGGATTGTTCTGTTTCTGTGAAAATACCTTTGGAAGTTTGATAAGGACTGCATTCAATCTCTACATTGCTTTTGGTAGTATAGGCATTTTAACAATATTAATTCATATAATCCATGAGCATGGACTGTAATTCCATGTATTTATGTGTTCTATTTCTTTAATAAATGTCTTATAATTTTCAGTGTACTGGTATTTCACCCCCTTGGTTACATTTCTTCCTAGGAACTTTATTCCTTTGGATGCTATTGTAAAAGACATTGTTTTCCTAATTTCACTTCTTTCTGCTACTCTATTGTTAATATGTGTAAATGCAACTGACTTCGTATATTGTTTTTATATCTTGCTACTTTATTGAATTTATTAGTTTTAACTATTTTTGGTGGAGGCTTCAGGCTTTTCCATATATAATATCACATTATCTACAAATAGAAACAGTGTTATTTCTTTCTTTCCAGTTTTGGATGCTTTGTATATTTTTTCTTATTTAATTGTTTTGGCTAAGACTTCCAATACCACATTATATAAAAGTGGTGAGAGTGGATGTCCTTATCTTTTTCCTGATCTTAGAGAAAAAGCTTTCAGCTTTTCATCATTGAGTATGATGTTAGCTGTGAGCTTTTCTTATATACGGCCTTTGTTGTGTTGAGGTGAATTCTTCTTATACTTAATTTATTGAGAATCTGTTATGAAAAGTTGAAATTTTGTCAAATGCTTTTTCTGCATGTTTAGATTATCATGTGATTTTTTTTATCCTTTGCTCTTTAATGTGGCATATCATAGTGAATGATTTGCATATGTTGAACTATCCCTACCTCCCTAAAATAAATGCCATTTGGTCATGATGCATGATCTTTTTAATGTGCTATTGAATTCTGTTTTCTATAGATTTTTGCATCTATGTTCACCAGGGATATTGGCCTATTGTTTTGTGGGGTTTTTTGTGGGGTCTTTGGCTTTGGTATCAGGGTAATGCTGGCCTCATAAAAAGAGATTTCAGAATTTGCTATGAGTGAATGATTGTGTTTATAAGTTGAACTCCTAATCACCAATGTGATGGCATTAGAAGTGAGGGCTTTGAGAATTGCTTGGGTCATGGGGGTAACGCCCTCATGAATGGGATTAGTGTTCTTATAAAAGAGACCCACAGAGATCCTTCATCCCTTCTGTCATGTAAGGAATAGTGAGAAGGTGTAAGCTGAGTCAGGAATGAGTTCTCACCAGAACATAACCCTGCTGCATCTTTGATCTTAGACTCCCAGCTTCCTTAACTATGAGAAATAAATTTATCTTGTTTACAAGCTACACAGTCCATGGTATTTTGTTATATCAGCCCAAATGGATTTAAAAAGAAATGTTCCCTTTACACACACACACACACACACACACACACACACACACACACACACCGCTTGCCTCTCTCACTATGTGTGTGTGTTTAAGAAGGGTTGGTATTAATTTTTCTACACATTTTTGGTAAAATTCACCTATGAAGTCATCTGATCCTAGAATTTTCTTTGTTGAGTGCCTTTTGATAACTCTCAATACATTTATTTGTTACTTACCCATTTAAGCTTTGTATTTCTTCTTGATTCAGCCTTAGTATTTTGTATATTGCTAGGAATTCACCCACTTCTTCTAGGCTGGCCCAATTTGTTGATGTTTAATCATTCATAATATTCCATTATAATTTTTAAAAAATTTCTGTGACATCAGAGGTAATAGTCCTCATTTGTGATTTTATTTATTTGAGTCCTCTCTTTTTTCTTAGCCTCGTTATTGGTTGTCAATTTTGTTTATCTTTTCAAAAATCCAACACTTAGTTTAGTGATTTTTTTATTGTTTTTCTATTTTTATTTATTTATGCCCTAACTTTTATTATTCCTTTCCTTCTGCTAACTTTGATCATAATTTGTTTTTCTCTTTCCAGTTCTTCCAAGTATAAAGCTAGGTGTTTTTATTTGAGAGCTTGATCTTTTAGCTGCCTTCAAATAATCAAGCCATGCTGATTCCTTCAGTGTTCTAGGTGAGGAAAGATAGAAGTGGGCCTCAGGGATCATCATGAAAGGATTTTGAAGCCTGAAACTCACTTCTCTCTTTTCCTCATGGGAGAAATTGTGAATGAAGGCATCTCTTTCAGTGCAGAGCTGTGATGGCTTGGTAGAGGAGTGATACAGATAAAGTGAAGTCATTTTTCTTGCCCTTTTTAAAATTATTTTTTAACTTTATTTATTTTGAGAGAGACAGAGTATGAACATAGATGGGCAGAGAGAGAGAGAGAGAGAGAGGGAGGGAGGGAGGGAGAATCTGAAGTTGGCTCTGCACTGTCAGCACAGATCCCAATGTTGTGGTCAAACTCACGAAACTGTGAGATCATGACCTGAGCCAAAATCAAGAGTTGAATGCATAGCCAACTGAGCCACCCAGGTGCTCCTCTTACCCTTTTTAATATGGCTGTTTTAGGATGCTATGCTTCACTGGTGTGGTGGCACCTCTCAGCCAAACTCTGGAGCTCTCATAAATGTATTTTATCCATAGATGGTTGTTAAATCAGTGTTAAGTGGAGTTCAGGGCAGAGACTTCTTAGTCTGCCATCTTGCTGATGTCACTGTCTAAATCATTTTAAATTAAACTCATCAAAAGATGTTTTCTTTTATTCATGAATCAGTATTTGAGCTTATATTTTATAGCAATTTTACATTTTAACCTAAATTGTGAGTACTCCAAAATAGCTACAGAATAAAAGACAAATTATTAATAACTTTTGTTTTTTTTTTCTCTAGTCTTAAGACTATTTCATATCCATGGGTTATACACTCAGTATTTGCCAAACCATATAACAGGCCAATAATAGTCTCTTAAAAGTATTGCACCTTTCATAAGAGAAGGGAAGTTAAGATAAGATAAAAACAGAGAGGGAGGCAAACCATAAGACTCTTAAGTACATGGGGAGCCTGGGTGGCTCAGTCGGTTGAGCGGCGGACTTCAGCTCAGGTCACGATCTCGCAATCCATGAGTTCGAGCCCCATGTCGCGCTTTGTGCTGACAGCTCAGAGCCTGGAGCCTGTTTCAGATTCTGTGTCTCCCTTTCTCTGACCCTCCCCTGTTCATGCTCTGTCTCTCTCTGTCTCAAAAATAAATAAACGTTAAAAAAATTTAAAAAAAGACTCTTAAGTACATAGAACAAGCTGAGGGTTGATGGGAGTGGGGAAAATGAGTGACGGGCATTAAGGAGGGCACTTGTTGGGATGAGCATGGGGTATTACATGTAAGTGATAAATCACTGGATTCTAATCCTGAAGTCAAGACTACACATATGTTAACTAACTTGAGAATTAAAAAAAAAAGGAATTATACCTTTCAGCTGACTCCAGAAGATTATGGTACCAAAGGCCAATGGGCACCTCTGGCTTCTAGCAGTATCCTTCTGCCATAGGCTCTAAACACTGAACTGAGAGGTTACTGAGAACTATAACCCAAACACAAATGTGAGTCAAAGACTCACTCTGGGTACAGAGTGAGTGGTGTGTTGGAGGGCCTCTGAGTCATTCTATGATTACGTCCTACTCAAGGATAGAGACCTTTGTGGTATCCTGATATATGAATTCCATCAAGATGATCACATGATGAATGCCAAAGCACTAATAGCTGAAAAGTCCTACCAATTGTTGGGCCTCCTTTGTATTTATTGGGGCTTAGAGATACTAAAAGCTTAGCAATTATCTCTTATAGAATGAAACACACTGCCCCTTCCCAGTTTAATCCCAGAGATTTTACTTGGTTACCAGGTCCTTGTGCTTTTTTTTTTTTTTTTTGTATTAATGTCCCAGTCTTGTTACCACATGTGAATCCATGTGCCTTCTGTCTTTGTTGGATAGTACCCTTGTTTAGGTTCAAAGGAGGGTATCAGTATTTGTATAGGGTATCAGTGTATAGTGGAAAGCTAGTGTTCCATGTGGGAGTGGGACTTTTTCCAGGTCATGGCCTGTGGAAAGACATTACATGTGTATTGCAACTCACTACACATATGGCAAACTGATCTTGAGCATCCATGTGGATAAAAATGTTGAAAGGGACATTTGAAATATCAATTACTTTATACATATTTCCCTCTGCTTACGCAAGGGGAAATGCTTGCTGACCTTGTCATGACTTGTCATGCTTACTGACATGCATGACAGTAATGATATTGAATAACATCATTGCACAGGGCTCCATGATTGCATTGCATCTCTAATAGTCAGTTGAATCTCCAGACACAAGGGGCTTAATCCACAGGCTAGATAGGGCTACTGAATGGAGAAATAGTCTCATGGAAAACTTGTGCTTCATTAAGCTCAGAATAAGGAAGCTGTCTCTTTTTCTCTTCCAAATAGTTGCTTTGGTAGCTAAAGGCGCTAGGCAGTAGTAATCTGTTAGGCTCAGAGTTTTCTACATTAGGTCTCTGAAATGGTCACAATTGCAGGATTTCCTGTCATAGCTTAGGGATAAGGGAGAGGGGCTGGGCATGCACAGGTATATAAACATATATATCAACAACGCATTCAGTAGTGGAGTCCATAACAATAGGGTTTGGGGTGGTGGTGGCTGAAGGGATATACCTATAGTTGGTTGCCTCAAATCCAACACCAGAGAGTATTATCTGTTACTCCTTCATCTTGGTCCAAAAGGCCCAAGAAATACAATTCCTCCTCACCTCCCCAATGAACTGTGACTTTGCCAAATGCCTCCATGTTACCAATGGGGTCATAGGGACCTTGGCCTAACACATAGTCTTGTTTATTTTTTAAAGTTGAGAGATCTGAGTAAAAGTAGGAGGTTGTTCTCTGATTCATCTTAAGATTCACTGGGAGGCCTGGAGGGAATAGTCATAGGAATTATCACTATGTGGACTTTAGTGGGGCTCTGTGTTATGCCCCAGTGACCATTATCTGGTCACAAGTATCTGATGGAGAGCTTTTTAATCTCTTCCTGGAGACCCATTGTTGAGTAACAAAACCCATAGATGTCTTTGGGAAAGACTTTAACCAGGTGGTCCGGGAGTAAGTACTCACTTATCATTTGTACATCATTCTGGTTGCTAGTGAAAAGTTGGTATCTTGCTAGTAGTTGCTTTTTCTTTGCTTGGAAGTTTTTAAGTTGAGATCTGGATTGTTCCATGAACCAGCTGACATCACCTTGTAAGGAGGTTTAATTGAGCTAGGTAACCAGTGAGAGTTGCAAGAATGAAATCAGATCGGAGTCTGGTAAACAATCTCATCATTTACTATACTCGCTCCTAATTGTTGAACCAAGGAACTATCAGGTGGCTTGCAGAGCACCTTGTAGGTGGTTGTAAAAGTGGTCCAATTTTTTTTTTTTTTTTTTTTTTGTAGAGAACTCACCTTATTTGGACCAAACCAGTTCAAGACCAAATAGTAGCTAAGGAAGGAGAGCGTCTCAGGTATTAATGTTGTTTCTTCCACTTGACCCCTTCTTCATCTTTCTTAGGCAAAGTGGCCACTGAAAGACTTCCTGAATGAGGGAGTCTGTAGTGACACACTTCACAAAGTGCCACTGTCCCTAACTACATTTAATAAGATTACTTCCTTTATGCTGGAGGCAAATTATTCATGGTTTCTTTGGGTCCCTGGGCAAAGTAATCCTGAGGGTCCTACATTTTTTTCATTAAACATGAGAAAAATTCACTGCATTATAGGTTGTCATCAGCACCAGAGACATGGTTAGATCTAGTAGTCATTGTGTGCAATCTACATGAAGGGTCTACACAACTTTTGATGACAAACTACTTTATTTTCTGGTTTGTCTTTCCTGTGTTTCTTTTTCTAAAGGTAAGTATATATTTTCTTTTTATTTCCCATTCTTTTTTTCCTAAAAGCATACTTGATAGCTTCCATTTGCATTTTTTCCCAAATAAACTTACCTCTTAGCAATCCCTTAAAGTTGGGATATAGTTGGGGCGCCTGGGTGGCGCAGTCGGTTAAGCGTCCGACTTCAGCCAGGTCACGATCTTGCGGTCCGTGAGTTCGAGCCCCGCGTCAGGCTCTGGGCTGATGGCTCAGAGACTGGAGCCTGTTTCTGATTCTGTGTCTCCCTCTCTCTCTGCCCCTCCCCCGTTCATGCTCTGTCTCTCTCTGTTCCAAAAATAAATAAACGTTGAAAAAAAATTAAAAAAAAAAGTTGTGATATAGTAATTTTTAAAATTACTTTAGAGCCACATATGTAACTCTTTGTACCACATTATACATCATAGTTGATATTACTTTGTTATTTAACCAGTCTCATATGCTTATATATTTGGGTGCTTTTGAGTATCTTATAATTACAAATATGCTGTAATGAATAATCTTGTATGCGTGCATTTGAATTGTTTGGGCTATGACTATATATATTAACCTAAACTATAAATAATCCAAAGCAAGTAGGAACTAATATAAAATATATTTTTATGACAAGAAATGTTTATGAAATAATGAGACTACTTCAACACACACATACTAAAATTCTTCTCATCATAAAATCCTGGGTCTAGCATTATGGTAATAAAAATGAGAGAAAATAATGCTATATACTTGTTATAAGTTTGATCTCTAGAGATTTCAAATAGAACTGTTTTTCTGTTTAATGAACTAAATGTATCTCTTTATGTAGCTAATGATGATGTACCAGATAAAAACCTTATGCTTAAGCATCAAGACTCAAAGTCAGAAACAGAAATGCAAGTAAAGAAACAAAAAACTTCCCTAGGTGAATCATTCATTAGTAAGTAGAATAATTATAGATAAATCTAAATTATTTTAAGTTATATTCATCAAATCTCTTTACTTTGGTTCATGAATATGTATTTGAACATATATTTTATAGAGATTTTTACACTTTGATTTAAAGTATGAATACCCTAAGATAGTTAAAGAACAAAAACAAAAGTATTGATAACTTCTGGTTGGAATTGCTTGTATTGAGACTATTTCACAGTCATGAGTCATATGTCAGTATCCACTGAAGCTCAATAATAGACCACTAATTATTTCTTAAAGGGTGTATATTTTTCACCTAGCTACTGCTAGAGATTATGGATTCAAAGGTCCAACAGATGTCTCTTATCTGTAGCAGTGTTTTTCTTCCTAAAGTTCCAACTGGCAAAGAGAGACATTGTTGAGATCTGTAACTCGAAAAGCAAAATGGATCAGAGGAGCCTAGGGGAAGGGTTGCCTCAGTGTGAGGGCTTCCAGGTCATTCTTCTGGTTGTGGATCCATTAAAAGTAAATGACCTTTCTTATAATCCCAGTGATAGGGGGCATTGTGCATGCAAGTAAGTGAATAGTTCCATCAATTATCAGGTATCCTTTATAATTGTTGTAGCATAGAGGGCCAAAGCCAGTTTCCTCTAATGGGATGAGACACCATACCTCTTGTAAATAATGCCCAGGAATTTCATTTGGGTACTAGGTTCTTGAACTTTGTAATAATGGTCCATCAAGTTACCACCTGTGCATCAGCAAGGTCTAGCCCTTGGTTTTGGTTAGTTCCTTGTCTGGAACCAATATAATGGTATTATCAATAACATAGAAAGCTATTCCTCCCTCTGGTAGTAGGATATTTTCCAGGTCATGATCTATGCATTGGTGACAGATCAAAAATTTAGATAGATTTGTGGAAGGATATGAGTGATGAGTTATACCCATTCTACACAAGAATGAACTGATACTAATAATTCCCAGGCAGAGGGATACTGAAAAGGGTTGCAATATCAATTGTTGCATAACAAGTTCCCACACTGTGGACAATAGTTTCTACATCAGTCAGTGTCAGATACTGCTAGTACCAAGGGCTGTCCTTTGTATTGAATGACCAAAATCAATTGAGTATGAACTCAAGGCCAGATGCACAAGCCAATTGATTTATTGAATGGGGACATAGTTTCCAGGAGATTTTGCTGTCTTAAGATCAGCAAAGAGGGAAATTATTCATCTTATTTCCCAGGAATATTTTTGGGAGACAAAGGTGCTGCTAGGTGCTGGCAATTAGGTAGGTTAACTGTTTTCTTATGCTCCCTTAAAATGGCTCTAACTGCAACAGTTTCCATCAGGGCTTGGAAGAATGTGAGTGCAGTTTCTTATAGACAATATATCTCTAACACATATCTCTAATACATTTATTTTCTGGGGCCATAACAATGGGATTTTTTGTTGACCCAAGAGGACCCATCCATAGTCTGGTCTGGATAAGAGTTCCATTGGTGTTGGCCTCAGACCCCAAACCAGACAGCATTATTTGTGTTCCTGTCATCCTGATGTCAAGAGTTGTGATTACAGCCACTTATGTACCACTATTCAAAAGACATTAAAAATGCACTTGTCCACAATTTCCCAGTTAACTTCTTCCTTAGCAGAGGTCCTCATGTGTCCACTGGGTATATTGGGATGTGGCCTATCCCCTTGTATTTTTCATTTTTGAAAGGCAAAAGTTCAGAGTAAAAATTGGCTGGGCTTTCTGACTCCTGTCAAGATTCACTGGGAGGACATTTGGGCTCTTTACATAATTTGGCTATTGTTGATAATGCTGCTATATACACTGAAGTGTATGTATCCCTTCAGATCAGTATTTTTTATTTCTTTGGGTAAATACCTAGCAGTAGTTAGTTCTATTTTTAACTTTTTGGGGAACCTCCATACTGTTTTTCAGAGTGGCTACACCAGTTTGCATTCCCACTAGCAGTGTAAGAGAGTTCCTTTTTCTCTGCATACTTACCAACATCTTTGTTTCCTGTGTTGTTAATTGTAGCCATTCTGATGGGGTGAGGCAATATCTCATTGTAGTTTTGATTTATATTTCCCTGATGATGAATGATGTTGAGAATATTTTCATGTGTTAGCCATCTAGATGTCTTCTTTGGGAAAATGTCTATTCATGTTTTCTGGCCATTTTTAAACTGGATTTTCATTTTTGGGTGTTGTCATTTATAATTTATTTATATATTTTGGATACCAACCCTTTATCGGATATGTCACTTTTAATTATCTTCTCTCATTCTGTAGATTTCCTTTTAGCTTTGTTGATTGTTTCCTTCACTGTGCAGAGACGTTTTGTTTTGATGTTCATTTTTGCTTTTGTTTCCTTGCCTCAGGAGATGTATCTAGTAGAAAGCTTCTATGACCAATGTCAAAGAGGTTCCTACCTGTGTTCTCCTCTGAGATTTTGATGGTTTCACGTCTCACATTTAGATCTTTAATACATTTTGAATTTTTTTATGTGTGTTGTAAGAAAATCGTTCAGTTTCATTCTTTTTCATGTTGCTCTCCAGTTTTCCCAATACCATTTGTTGAAGAGACTATTTTCCTGATTGGATATTGTTTCCTGCTTAGTTGAAGATTAATTGACCTTATAGTTGTGGGTTCATTTCTGAGTTTTCTATTCTGTTCCATTGATCTATGTGTTTGTTTTTGCACCAGTGCCTATACTGTCTTGATCACTACAGCTTGACTAGTGAATGAATAAAAATGTAACACACACACACACACACACACACACACACACACACACACACTGAAATATTACTCAGCCATAAAAAAGAATGAAATCTTGCCATTTGCGATGTTGTGAATGGAGCTAGAGAGTATTATACTAAGTGAGATAAGTTATTCAGAGAAAGACAAATACCATATGATTTCACTCATATGTGGAATTTAAGAAACAGATAAACATGTAAAAAAAAAAGGAGGGGCAAACAATAAATCAGACTCTTAACTATAGAGAACAAACTTAGGGTTGCTGGAGGGGAGGTGGGCTGGGAGATGGGTTAAATGAATGATTAAGGGTATTTGTGATGAGCACTTGGTATTGTATGTAAGTAAGTGATAATCACTAAATCCTATACATGAAACTGATATTAACTGTATGTTAACTAACTGGAATTTAAATAAAAATTTGGAAGAGAAAAAAACATTGTAAGGAGTAGAGTGATAAGACTTGTTTTTGTCACAGTAACTGTCACCATGTATACCACAGTGGTACAGACCCTTGAGTGCTCCTGAATACTACCTGTCCATGAATACCTTGGTAAAGAGTCCTTCAGTCTCTTCATTTGAGAACCCACTGATGGGCAACTGAACTTATATATCTCGTCTAGAAAACCTTTGCTTATCTTGTCCAGGTTTAGCTGCCCAATTACCATTTTATATCACTTTTTCTGCTGGTCAATAGTTGCTACCTTGACGGAACTATTCCATGCCCACTTCTGTGGGCAACATGGCTGTTGTCCAGTCTCTCCAAGGAGTTTTGTATTTATAAGCCCCACAGATGTTAGTCTCCCTCAATAAGTTTAAAAAGATTATCTCCTGTATTATTGAGGGGAACTACCCAGTCTCTAAGGTCTCTTCAGGTCACTGGATCAAGTGACCCTAAGACCCTACATTCTTTTTTCCTTAAAAGAACATATCTCAATAAATTAATGAGTCGTAGGCTAACTATGACAAGGAGGGGTTCTTAAAATTAAGAGCATTGAGTGCAACTCAGCATGCTAGATCTCTGATAACTTTAGGTCCTATCACCAGAGGACCAAAGGCAGTAGCCAAGGTATTGCTTCCCTAGCTTAGAGTTCATCTGTTGAATATCTAATTTGACCACTCACTGTGTGTTTTGGCAAGTAAATTGAGAGGTAAATAGAAGGACCATTGTTCATGCTCAGAATTTAAAAGTAAAGTATATATAAATAATACAATAGTACTCTCCTGGAGAGCCCCCATCAGTGTCCACTAGCACTTCTGGAGATACATTGTCTTGTCTGATGCTGTGCCCTGTAGGACCCTATGACTTTTGTGAATGATCCAGTTGTATCCCTCAAAAGAGTCTTGTAGACTCACTAGCACCTCCCAAAGTTCTCCTTCCAGAATTTTACTTTATTGTTGAATATGCCAATTTGTCAGAGAAAAAGCTGCCAATTTTGACTTCGTCAATTTAGATAGCAAACCCAACTGAAAGTAACAGTTAAGCTTTTATTCATTTACTACAATAGTATAAACAAGAGTCTAAATAGGAAAACGTCTTTCATTTACTCCACAGAACCAAACCAGCAAAGGGTCAGATGTATCAGTACAGATGGGAGTGAAGTTTGGGGGAAGATAATCTCATAGCTGAAGAAGCCCCAAACAAAAGGTTCTGGTCTGTTTTTGAATCCAAGAGCCTTGCAAATATTGATGTAGGATGACTAGGAGTACAGAAGTCCTAAATACTGAGTTGAAATGAGAAAGGTATCTTTAAATATCCCTAGTAAAGTGGCCTATTGAGAAGTGCCTAAAAAGTACAGTGTATTAGCTGACTCCTCACTTTTTCACAAGAAGGCCTCTAATGGAGGCACCTGGCATGGAAACAGAATGCATAAGATGGGTCTTAGTCTTTGACTGCAACTACCTCAAGTGTCTGGCGTTCACAGGCTGTACATTAAACTTGGTGTGGGTGGTAAATTCCACCCCCTTTCTCCACTGTGAGTACTGCCAGGTAGAAACTTTGTAATTGTCTATGATTGGGCCTATAGACAGATGGGTATCACAAAGTCAATGTAAAAATGTCAAATGTAGGATTTTGGCCTGGAGTTGGACTCCCATATATACATATGTATATATACACATACACATATTTATACACACATACACATATGTGCACATATACATGCATATACAAATGCAGAGAAATATTTAGATAGCAAGCCAAATTGAAAGTAGCAACTAATTTCTAAATTAATTTAGAAATCATGAATTCTCATGGACATCTTAAATTTCAGTCCATCCCCTCAGTACTTGTTCTTCCCTTCCTTTTTTTCATATGCAGATGTTCTTTTATAGTGTGAACCTGACTCTGAACAACCATATTAATTTGCTTATCCCTACAACGTTTCTGAAATTATTTCAGAATTGCTTAGTATATGCTACTAGAAAAATAAACCTATTGAAAGATTCTGTTATATGTTTGTAGTCTGCCCCCTACTCTCTTGTTGAAGAATGAGGGTTTATGTTAAATAATACATTGCTGAATTACTTAGGTTAGTACTTTTTCTAAGGTTTCTTTCCATTTTAGTTGTCTTATACTTGACCTTATTTCAATTGTTGGAATATGCATAATGTGATCGTACTTCTAAATTAGAAAATAAGTAAAAAGGTATACTTAGAGATTACCATTCCTTCCTCATTATTCCCCTCACATCCTATAGTTGATTATTTGTATTTTTTCTTACATGCTTCCTGTGTTTTCTGCTTTAAAGGTATCTATTTTGCTCTCTCTTTTTTTATTTTCCTTCTTTTAAAATCATTATCCCCATTTCTGGTTTCTTTTTTCCACTTATTAGTATCTCCAGGAAATTCTTATAAGTCAGCTTATAAAGATCTTTATCACATTACTTATGAGAATTTATACCATGCCATAGTTCATAGAATTATATCTTATTCAGTCACCCATACTTGAACATTTATGTAATTTTCAATATTTTTCAATGAAAAATAATGTAGAGATAATGTATATATATTTTCACTTTTATTTTATTAATATGCATTAACATAAAGTATAAATAGCACAAGAAAATTAGAGGCTAATATAAATATTTAATGCAAAATATGTTCTTGAATTAAGGAGATAGCTCCAACAATTACCCATTAAAACCCTTATCACCTTATTCATGTCAGATTTCACATTATAGTGATGTATTTATAATTGTTTATGTGAGGGAAAATGCTGCTACAGACTATTCCTAAGTTTGAAACTTAGGAATTTCACAATAGTTCTGTTTTGTTAAATGGTGATTTAAAAGCCTCTCTTTATGTAGCTCATGACAACATAACAGATGAAAACCCTGTGCTTGAGCCTCAAGAGTCAATGTCAAAAACCCAACTTCAAGTAAACAAACAAAAAATTGCTAAAGAGGAAAGAGTCACTAGTAAGTATAATAATTATACATAAATATTTTAAATTAATCATATCAGAAGATTGTTTTACTTTGGTTCATGAATATGTAGATGAACATATATTTTGTAGAAAATTTATAGTTTGATTTTGAATCTGAATATCCTAATTGGAGAAGAAAGTCAAAGTATTCATAACTTTTGTTGGTTTCTGCTTGTAAGACAATTTCACATCCACAAGTCATGTGCTCAGTATCCACTAAGATCCAATGACCGACCAGTAGTATCTCAAGGGGTGTATACATTTTAGGAAGATTTTGGGTTCAGTAACCCACCAGTCACCTCTGACTTGTGGCATTGTCCTTCTGTCATAGAACTCAAATTGGTAGATAAGGTGTTGAGATCTGTAACTCAAAAGCAAATGTGGATCAAAGGAACAAACTAGAAGGGTTGCCTGAGAGGCCTGTTGGAGGATCCATAAGGCATCCATTTGGCTGGGACCCACTCGAAGGTAGAGGCCTTTTTGGTAATATTATAGATGGGTATCATTGAGATGTCTGCATAGTTAATATGAAAGTTCCAGAAGCTAAATAATCCCACCAATTACTGGGTCTCCTTTGTATTTTTTGGGTAGAGAGAGAAAAAAAAGCTTTACCCCTTAGAATTTGGAGTGAGACAATGTAATCCTTTCCATTTTGCCCCCATATTTTGTATGAGTATTAGGTTCTTGTGCCTTGTTTATATTAATGGTATAGCTGTGTTGCTGCATGTGGGTTATTACAGTATGCAGTCCTTGTTGGGTAGTACTCTTGTCGGGGTCCAGTGGAGAATGCCATAAATATAGTGGAAGGTTAGTACTTGATCTGGGGGCAGGGCTTTTTTCCAGGTTATGGGCTTATGGAAGGACATCAAGGGTATATTATAACCCATTACACATAAGGTAAACTTATGATCCTAATTACCGGTGTTGAACAGGGATGCTAGAAAGGGCATTTATGATACCAGTTGGTGCATACCTATTTCACTCACCTTGGGCAGTAAACTTCTATGAAGGTCACAATTCCAAGTGACACCAGCATCCATTTCTGTACTATGGTGTTGAGTGATGATAATAAATTGAGTCTCTAGCTACCCAAGGCCTTACACACAGACTGAAAGGGTTTATGAATAGAGAAAAAAATGTCATGGACAACTTTGTTTTATTAAGCTCAGCAATGAAGGCAATTTTTTTTTCCCTAGGTAGTGTTCTTGGATGGCAAAGGTGCTAGGCACTGGTAGTTTGGTAGGCTTATAGTTTTCCATATACCAAATTAAAATGGCCCTAAACTACATCAGTTGCCAGTAGGGCTTGGGGAGGAAAGTGAGTGAGATGTACATAGAAAATACATCTATACAAATAATGCATTCAGTAATGGAAGCCATAACAGTGGAGATTTTTAGTGGCCTGTAAGGACACACCCATAGTTGAGTTTGGATAAAGGTCCCATTTAGTACGCTCAGCCCCAAAACAATTGGACCTTATCTCTTTTCCCCTCATCCTAGTGTCAGTAATTATAGGGATCACATTCATATATGCACCAGTATCCAAGAGGCCTAGAAATGCAATTCTCACCCATCTTCCCATTGAACCATGACCTTGGCATACACCCTCATCCCCAGATGGAGATATAGGAATCTTGACCTAATTCTCATTGTTGTTTATACTGAAAGCTCAAAGTTTGGGTAAAAGTAGGTCGTGGGGGAGGAGAGGTCTCTGGTTATCCCAAGATAAATTAAGAAGTGCAGAAAGAAGAGCACTTGTGTTAGTCTTAGATGTCATCACCATTTGGCTTCTAGTGGGGCTGTGTGTTGGGTGACCTATGGATCACTATCTGGCCATGAATCCTTGTTGGAGAGTCCATTAATGTCATCCCTGAGGCCCCATTGTCGAGTAACCAGACTCAGAACTTTCCTTGGGGAAACACTTAATCAGATTGTTCAGAAGTGGGTTCCTGCTTAACATTTTTATGTTACTCCATTCACTAGTCAAACATCGTTATTTCACATTAGCTGGTTTTTCCTTGCCCTGAAATCTGTCAGTTAAGAGGATTCAGGTTGTCTTGTGAACCAATTGACATCACCTTATAAGGAGGTTTAATTGAGCTAGAAACCAGTAACGGTGGTACAAATGACCCTGGAAATCTGAGTCTAGTTAACAATCTCCTAATCTGTTTACTGTGCTTGCCCCCCATTGTTCAACAAAAGGACCATCAGAGTGGCTCATTGTGGCTCATCTTTCAGGTGGCTATAAAAGTGATCCAAACAGCCTTTCTGGTCTAAGGACACTCAATATTGGTGGGCCAAACCTGAGAAAGGAGCTGAGGACCAAGTGTGTCTAGGGTTTACATTATTGCCTTCCCCACTTTCCTTGTCTTTCTTGGTCAAGTGGCCACTGTGAGGGCACTCTGAATGAGTGAGTCTGCTATGATGCATCCCCTCACTAAATTTCATGAGTTACTTCCTTAATGATGGAGGCAAACTACCTCATACTCTATGCTCTCCTCAGCTCACTAGCAAAGCAATGTTGAAGGTTTTTTATACTTGTTCATTAAAATGAGTCTCAAATATATACTACAATATAGGCTGTTCCTCAGTGAGAGGGACATGCCTAGCACTATCAAAAGTTATTTAGTAAAATTCAACAAACATCGTCCACAGTGACTTTGGAAAAAACTAAAAAACTACTTTTTTTTCCTGATTTATCTTTCATGTTTAATTTTGTAAAGGTAAATATCTATTTTTAAATTTCCTTTCTGTTATTTCCTAAAAGATAATGTACTAGATACCCTTTCTACCAGTTTTTTTATTCCACTTAACATTATATCCTGGACATTCCTCCATCACTTTGATGGGATCTTTTCTTCATTTCTTTTAGAGTTGCATGTACAGTTGTTTGGATCGTACTATGTACCATAATTGATATTACTATAGTTTCTAGTATATACCTTAGTTTATTGAACCAATCTCCTATGTTTGCATATTTATGTGGTTTTGAATATTTTGCAATAACAAATATGCTGTAATGAATAATATTGTGCATATATATTTTCATTCCTTCATCAATAATTATGTTTTAATTTAAAGTATTAACAGAAATAAAAACTCAATTGAGACATATTTGAGAACTATGAATGTTAATGGAATAATGAGACAGTTTTAATACATCCATTAAAAACTCTTCTCACCATTTTCATATTGGACCTATAATTATAATTTACTTATAACTTTTTAAAAATGAGAGAAAACTTTGCTGTGCATTTGTCAATATTTTGAAAGCCTGGAATCTCACAATATTTTTGTTTTTCCATTTACTGGACTAAATGCCTCTCTTTATGTAGCTCATGATAAAGTACCTGGAAATCATGATCCTAAAGACTCAATGTCAAAAACTCAACTGCAAGTAAAAAAACAAAGAGCTTCCAAAGGGGAAAGATTCTATGGTAAGTATGGTAATTATAGATAGCTTTAAATGAAATTCATTGGAAGATAATTTTTCTTTGGTTTATGAATATTTGTTTCAGCATATTTTTTTATAGAAATCAAAGATTGACTAAAGTTAAGTACCCTAAGATAACTATAGAACAAAGGGAGAAGTATTGATATTCTTTGTTGGTATTTCCTGTCCTATGGTTATTTCTTGTCAAAGGCAACCACTCAGTGTCTGCAAAGGCCCTGTAACTGGCCAATAATATCTCTTAAAGAATGTATACCTTTCATCTGTCTCCTGGAGATATGAGTTTGAAAGACCAAAGGGGTACTTCTGACCTATGGCAGTGGCCTCCTGCCTTACCTTCTTTCAGGGAGAAGAGATTTTCCTGAGTTCTGTAAGTCAATGAGCCAATAGAGATTAGAGGGGCTCAGTGGGAAGGCAGCCTTGTGACCTGTTGGAGGGACTCTGGGGCATGTTCTTGGTCATGGCCCTACTGAAAGGAACTGGCCCTTCTACTTATCCCACAGATAGGCCATCACAGACCCTAAATGTGAAATATGAGAGTGTAAGTAACTGAATTGACCCATCAATTGCTGGGCTTTCATTTGTTAAAGTAGAGAGGGGCAAAGCTGGGCACTGTTCTCTGAAATGAGATGTCATGTCCCTTACAGAGCATGTTGAGGAATTCTATTAGGGTACCAGGTAATTGTACCTTGCCTGTAATACTAACCTCACTGAGTTGCCATATGTGGATCTGCAGGACAATCAGTATTTGTTTAGTTGTGTCCGTGTTGGTAGATGTCATCAATAGAGTGGAAGTCTATTGATTTCTCTGAGAGTGGGACTTTTTCATGTCATCATTTGTGTGTTGATGGAAGATATTCAGAGAATTTTGACAGCCTTTTGGAAGTACAGTAGTGGCATATGACAACCCAATGCCCAAAGGCTACTGATTATGATCTTCCACAATAAAGGGATGCTAAAAAGGGCATTCATAATAGCAATTGCTGCATCCAAGTTCCCTCAAATTTGGACATAGACTGTAGCACTGTCACAATGTAAATACCATAGTTGTAAGGTCTGTACTACAACATTAAGCTGCATAAATCAGTTGAGTCTCTATACACCCAAAGTTGTGAGCACAGATTGACTGAATTATTAGATAGTTAAATAGTCTCATGGAGAATTTTCATTTCATTCAGCTCAGCAATTAGGGAGACAAAGGCACTAGAAACTGGTAATTGGATAGGTTCAGTCTTCCACATGCTAACTAAAATGGACTTAACTGCAACAATTTCCATCAGGGCTAAGGAATTGGTACAAAGCGGGACTTCACATTGACAATTCATCTATAAATAATATGTATACTAATTGGACCATTACAATGGAAGTTTGCAGTGATCTAAAGGGAAATATCCATAGTTGGATCTAGGTAAGGGTCCCGTTGACAATGACCTCAAACCCAATGGTATTGTTACCCACATCTCTTACCCTTACGCAGTGAACATTGTGTGTTTTCCCTACATCTTGGTATCAGGAGTTGTGAAGATCATAGTCAAAAACATCAGTATCCAAAGGCCCAAGAAACACCATTCTTTCCTACCTTCCCATTAAATTCTGACCATAGCATAGGTCTTCCACTGATGGTGAAGGGACCTGGTCTAATGCATAGTCTTGTTCATTTCTGAAAACAAAGGGTTCTTGATAAAGGTTGATAGGCTCTCAGATTCATATCAAGATTCAGTGGAAAGAGCTGAGCAGTAGAACTTGTATTAGTCATAGGGGCCATCAGCATATGGACCCTAATTCACTTGCCTTTTGGGTACATCACTGCCTAGTATCAGGCCATTAGTGCCTTGGTACAGAATCCATCAACTTACTTTCTTGACACTCCATTATTGGATATCCACTCATAGATCTCTTTGAGAAGGCCTTGACCTGGATTGTCCAGAAATGAGTGACTGATTACCATTTTATATTGTTTTCACTATTGGTCAATCATTGCTACCTTAGCAGTAGCTGCTATTTTTATGTAATAATTTGTCACTTAATATTCAGATTATATGGTACCCAATGACCTGATCTTATGAAGAAATTTAATAGAGCTTGTTAAATTGTGAGGGTGGCATGAGTTAATTAAGAAATCTGGGTCTATTTAAAAATCTTACCATGTTATTATACATGGAAAACCCGATAGACTCCACCAAAAGTCTGCTAGAACTGATACATGAATTCAGCAAAGTTGCAGGATACAAAATTAAAGTACAGAAATCAGTTGCGTTCTTATAAACTAATAATGTAGCAACAGGAAGACAATGAAACTGATCCCACTCACAATTACATCAAGAATTATAAAATACCTAGGAATAAACCTAACCAAAGATGTAAAAGATCTGTATGCTGAAAACTGTAGAAAGCTTATGAAGGAAATTGAAGAAGATACAAAGAAATGGAAAAACATTTCATGCTCATGGATTGGAAGAATAAATATTATTAAAATGTCAATACTACACAAAGCAATCTACACATTTAATGCAATCCCAGTCAAAAACTGCACCAACATTCTTCTCGAAGCTAGAGCAAGCAATCCTAAAATTTGTATGGAACCACAAAAGACCCCAAATAGCGGGGACCAAAGTGGGACACATCACAATCCCAGACTTTAGCCTCTACTACAAAGCTGTGATCATCAAGACAGCATGGTATTGGCACAAAAACAGACACATGGACCAATGGAATAATAGAGACTCCAGAATTGGACCCACAAAATTATGGCCAACTAATCTTTGACAAAGCAGGAAAGAATATCCAATGGAAAAAAGACAGTCTTTAACAAATGTTGCTGGGAGGACTGGACAGCACATGCAGAAGAATGAACCTAGAATGACCACTTTCTTACACCATTCACAAAAATAAACTCAAAATGGATAAAGGACCTGAATGTGAAACAGAAAACCATCAAATCCCTAAAGGAAAAAGCGGGAAAAAAATCTCTCTGACCTCAGCTGCAGCAATTTCTTACTTGACACATTTCCAAACGCAAGGGAATTAAAAGCAAAAATGAACTATTGGTACCTCATGAAAGTAAAAAGCTTCTGCACTGAAAAGGAAACCATCAACAGAACTAAAAGGCAACTGATGTAATGGGAAAAGATATTTGCAAATGACATATCATACAACGGGCTAATATCCAAAATCTATAAAGAACTCACCAAACTCCACACCCGAAAAACAAATAATCCAGTGAAGAAATGGGCAGAAGACATGAAAAGACACTTCTCTAAAGAAGACATCCATATGGCCAACAGGCAAATGAAAAGATGCTCAACGTTACTCCTCATCAGGGAAATACAAATTAAAACCACATTCAGATATCACCTCACGCCAGTCAGAGTGGCTAAAATGAACAAATCAGGAGACTATAGATGCTGCCGAGGATGTGGAGAAATGTGAACCCTCTTGCACTGTTGGTGGGAATGCAATCTGGTACGGCCACTCTGGAAAACAGTGTGGAGGTTCCCCCCCAAATTAAAAATAGATCTACCCTATGACCCAGCAATAGCACTGCTAGGAATTTACCCAAGGGATGCAGGAGTGCTGATGCATAGGGGACCTTGTACCCCAATGTTTATAGCAGCACTTTCAACAATGGCCAAATTATGGAAAGAGCCTAAATGTCCATCAACTGATGAATGGATAAAGAAATTGTGGTTTATATATACAATGGAATACTATGTGGCAATGAGAAAGAATGAAATATGTCCTTTTGTAGCAACATAGATGGAACTGGAGAGTGTTATGCTAAGTGAAATAAGTCATAGAGAGAAAGACAGATACCATATGTTTTCACTCTTATGTGGATCTTGAGAAACTTAACAGAAGACCATGGGGGAGGGGAAGGAAAAAAAAAAGAGAGAGAGAGGGACCCAAACCACAAGAGACTCTTAAAAACTGAGAATAAACTGAGGGTTGGTGGGGGGGG